TTTTTTTTTTTTTTTTTAAAGTAGAAACAGGGTCTCACTCTTTTTTGCTTAGGCTGCTCTCAAACTCCTGAGCTCAAGTAATCCACCCACCTCAGCCTCCCAGAGTGCTAGAATTACAGGTGCAAGCCATGGCGCCTGGCCTTAATTCTACTCATTTTAATTAATTGAATATTCACATTTTACCCCATAAAGCAAAAGGATTGTAAGTACAAAAATCTTCATCTTCTAAAGCAGATGAAGATATGTGAATGTACAGTTTCACTTCTTTTTTTTTCTTTTGAGACAGAGCCTCAAGCTGTCGCCTTGGGTAGAGAACCGTGGCATCACAGCTCACAGCAACCTCCAACTCCTGGGCTCAAGCGATTCTCCTGCCTCCACCTCCCAAGTAGCTGGGACTACAGGCGCTTGCCACAATGTCCAGCTATTTTTTGGTTGCAGCCGTCATTGTTGTTTGGTGGGTCCGGGCTGGATTCGAACCCGCCAACTCAGGTTTATGTGGCTGGCGCCTTAGCCGCTTGAGCCATAGGCGCTGAGCCTACAGTTTCACTTCTATAGCCACATTGCTTCAAGGAACTTTCTAAGAATCAAAGAAAAATGAAGTTATGTTTAATATCATGCTAAATATGTTATACTATATCCTAATTCTCTGACTACATAGTATTTTCACCCACCCAAATTGAGTTTACTTGCAATCGTCATGAATTCATGAGTGAAACTGCAGATATATTTCACGAACTACACACCTCACTTGTTCCTATAATTCTGCAGTTTTCAAAAAGAATTTTTAATAGTGCTAACACATTTTATAAATCTTAGAAATAACATCTTCTAATTGTTTTATCCAATGCAGTTACTTAAGAAGATTATGAAATATGTAGGCATGCTGCTGCTGCTGCAAAATACTTACAACATGAAATCTTGTTCCCAGGAAGGTTGATCGCCACGCACTGCTACAGTTGTGCTCTTCACATTTTGTACTTTCAGGGTCACGTATGTGTTAAATTTATCTTTGAAAAAATGCAAAATGAAGATGTAATACTGGTTACTGAATTTCACAAAACACTTGGAATAAATAATATGCAAGTTAAAGCATTACATGCAGAAGAAAAATTGAAGCTATATGTTAAACAACATAGCCTCATTCAAGACATAGCAGAATTACAAAATTATAAAACTACTCATTATCAACCAGAGCATAATCTAATACAAAATGTTTTAAATTTTGTGTATTTCAAATTTTAAGAAATCTGTTTTATATATGCCCCAGTAGACACAAACAAAAGCTTCATAAAATATAAGATGTGATACATTAATATTTCCTATTCTGATTTATTTAATCTATTAAAAGGAGTGCCATGGCATCACGCTCACAGCAACCTCCAACTCCTGGGCTCAAGGGAGTCTCCTGCCTCAGCCTCCCAAGTAGCTGGGACCGCAGGTGCCCGCCACAACACCCGCCTATTTTTTGGTTGCAGCTGTCATTGTTGTTTGGTGGGCCCAGGCTGGATGCGAACCCGCCACCTAGGTGTATGTGGCTGGCGCCTTAGCCACTTGAGCCACAGGCGCCGAGCCAAATTTTTTTTGATATAGTAAGTTTAATTAGACAAAAGAGACTAAGTCAATGTGAAACAAAAGAAATGATCCCCTGAAATATAATAAATTTGGATAAAATAGCATTGAGTACATAAAGCAACTGACAGAATCATGTGAAATTCCCAAGTCAACAATCAGATTTTTAACATCATTTAGTACAAATGATATACAAAGCAGGCCAAAATAATTTGTCAGAATATAGATGTCTTGGATAACTTAATAAATCAATAACTTTAACAAAATTAGGTAAAATTCTATAACCAAAAATAAGAGTAAACATTCTTTTCTAGCTTACAAGGACTGCATGGAACCTTGACTAACTCAAAGAATTCAATAAATTTTAAAATACCAACATTAGACAAACTATATTCTCTGAACATAATTTTTAGTAAACTACAAATCAAATAAAAACCTAGCTACTCTGTCTTCTGATAATGACAAAGTGAACTAGTCACTATACATAAAAGTGATTGTGTCTCTATACACCAATTTCAAACAACTAGAAAATAAAATTTAAAAAACAAATCATGAACATAACAATATGGCTTCAACAACAGACTATATCAGACAGAATAAAGAATTTCTGAATTTGAAGACAGGGCTTTTGAAATACTTGCAAGACCAAGGGGTAAAAAAATTTTGTTTAAATGTCCCACACGAAATATGGGACATCACAAAGTGACCAAAATTCCAGTTTGGGGAGTTCCACAAGAGGAGATTGGAAAGGCTTAGAAAAACTATGTAAGAAATGCATCAAGTTACACACAAGAGAATCCCATAATACTAATAACAGATATCTTATAGTCCAACCGAAAATGAGATTATGTTCAATAGGCTAAAAGTCAAAAATCCTGTCTGCCAAGAAAATTATAATTAGCAAATACTATTACTAGCAAAAATAATGAAAGAAAAGTTTTCTACAAACAATGAGGAAATTCATTACCGATACATCAGCCCTACAAGAAATGCAGAAGGGAGTCATACATTTGGAAGCAAATGGATGGTATCTATTTCATGAAGACACATGAACAAATAAGAGACAGAGTCTCAAGCTGTCGCCCTAAGTATAATGCCATGGCGTCACAACTCACAGCAACCTCAAACTCTTTCACTTAAGTGATTCTCTTGCCTCAGCCTCCCAAGTAGCTAGGACTACAGGTGCCTGCCACAATGCCTGGCTATTTTTTTGTTGTAGCTGTCATTGTTGTTTTAGCAGGCCTGGGCAGGCTTCAAACCTGTAAGCCATTCAGTGACCAGTGCCATACCCACTGAACTATGGGCACCACCCCTAAATTATATCCTTAATGAGATGTTTGTTATATTTGATCAGCATTTCTAACCTTTTGTTACACAAGCGTTTTAATATTCTACCTTTTATCACACAGAACTTTTCATCTCTCAAATGGCTTTTCTATTTCATATTTCTGTGCTATTGTGAACCAGAATATCTTTTCTCTTACGTTTTCTAGTAACTTATTTCCAGTACATAGAAAAGCTATTTCTTGTAGATTGCTCTGGTCACCTTAGGTTCTAACTTTATGCAAAAATGAAGTAGTCTTCAAACTAGGCTCAGGTCCCTTAGTATCAGTAGTAGATAGCAGCTCTGATATTCTTCTACTTGTCATCTTGGACTCAAGGGATCCTCTTGTCTCACCTTTTCTATTTTCAGTAGAGACAGGGTCTCCCTTTTTGCTCAGGCTGGTCTTGAACTTGTGAGCTCAAATAGATAGCAAATCTGATATTCTTTACAAGGCAAGCTTTTTTGTATCTTAGTATCAGCAGCTCTAATATTCTTCTACCTGTCATCCGTTAGTTGGATAGCAGGGTTAGTTTGCCATTCAGAATATCTGTAATTCCATGTTCTTGATTTATTTCACAGAAAGTAGATTATTAATAATTTAATAAACTTTTATTTATTTATTTATTTTTGAGATAGAGTCTCACTTTGTCACCCAGATAGAAGGGCATGGTATCATAGCTCACAGCAATTTCAAACTCTTGGGTTCAAGCGTCTCTCTTGCCTCAGCTTCTCAAGTAGCTGGGAGTACAGGCACCCATAATGCCCTGGGCTAGTTTTTCTATTTTTAATAGAGACAGGGTCTCACTCTTGCTCTAGCTGGTCTCAAACTCCTGAGTTCAAACAATCCACCTGCTTTGGCCTCCCAGAGTACAACAATTACAGGCAAAAGCCACCACGCCCAGCTGAAATAAATTTTAATACAATCTTAAATAACATACTTCTCAAAAACAAGTTTTGTGATATGCTGCAATGATGAGAGATAGGCAAACACACACTCATACATTGTAGGCAGAAATGTAATTTGGAATCATCTCTAGGGAAGGCCATTTGGCAGTATCTATCATAGTCTTTTTTTTTTTTTTTTGAGACAGAGCCTCAAGCTGTCCCACTGGGTACAGTGCCATGGCATCACAGCTCACAGCAACATCCAACTCCTGGGCTCAAGCAAGTCTACTGCCTCAGCCTCCCAAGTAGCTGGGACCACAGGCGCCC